TAAAATTTTTTAACATAAAAAATTTGAAGAAAGGGGAATGGTTTACAAAAGTTGAGATCCATGAACTTGCCGTGACCGATGGTGCTCCCTTCGTCATTTTGACATGGTAGAAATTTAAATTATTAACATTAATTTTAAATTAACATTTTTAAATTAATAGTATCAATTTGTCAAAATTTTTTTGGTACAACAATTTTTTTTTTTAGCAATTAGAATATTCCTCGACCAATTTTAGGGCATTAGAAAAACCTTTATTTATATTAATTAAGAATATTCAAAAAATAAAAGTTAATTTTTATTTAATTATCCAATTAAAATACTACTCTAAATGACATTAATGGGTGAAATTAAAGTCAATTCTCATATTTTAACACAATTTAATATAAAATCAACGAGGGATTGGATCAAGTGACAAGTGGCTTGTTTCAGTTTAAACAAGATCTCGAGTTTGAGACCTTGTGTACGCAGCAGTTTTTGTTGGGAGATTCACCCATCATTCTGGTGCACCACAACTGATCGAGTCCGGAGTAGTCGTGGCGAAGCCCCGGATACCGGGCAGGAAACCAAAAAAAACACAATTTAATAGAAAACATACATTAATTTTGCCCTAAGAGCACATATAAAAAACCAAAAAGGAAAAAGAAAAAACTCTTACTCCCTGATCCCTAACATAAAGTTAAAGATGATTAATTAAGCGTGATTAGCGAGGGAAACAGATGTTTTTCAGACAGGGTTTAGGTTGGGGGGGATTAGGGGGCATAGTTGATGAGGAAACATGTGGGACCCACGGACCACATCAAATTGGTCAAGGAAAAGATGGTCTGAAGATCTGGCGGTTCATGGGATCCTTGACAAAGTTTTAACAGTAGGAGGACTTTCTCTAAAATGGCCGACCATTGACCCCCTTTAAACCTATTGACAGGGTTTTTGAGGAAAAATTGAGGAAAAAAACACCACATTTACATCTACTTGTGAGTGAAGTTATTGTCACAAGTTTAATCATTAATATTATATATTTTTATTTTAATTAATTATTATATTTTTAAAATTTATTAAAAACAAAAAAATAATGTAAATGTATAATAAATAATTATTTTAAAAA